TTTTTGTTGACTATATTTATGTACAAACACACACATCTAAGATTATTTGTCATGATGTCATTTTATCTCATGTTCACATTGACCATGCATATTCAGGAACTAATTGACCATTTCTGCATCTCATGTTCTACTTGTTCCACAATACACTTTCTGATATGATTCTAATTTGCCTTCAGTGGCTGGTTATTGTAAGCTGAAAATCAATGGATTTATAATTGTAGAGCCTGAATAAGAAGAATTTATTGAAAGCGACAGTTGTTCGCTGTAATTATTTCGTTCTGAATATATATCTAAATAAGGCATTTAAAAAGCAAATTTCGCGAAATGATATCTTCATCTCGTAGTTTCTTTACAATCGCTTTACAACTAACATGGTTAACAATAATAAAAGAAAAGAAAAGGCATGCCAATTACTCAGTTGTATAAAACAAAAGTACTTACTAATGACCAGTCATATCTAAATAGGATAGAGGATTTCATCATGAGCTGACATCAGTCAGACAACCATTGGAAAACCTGGGAGTACTCGACAGCTGTTCCCTACGCCCTAGTTTGGGACTCTTCAGCAGTACCCATCCACCGCCAGGGTTCAAGCCCAGGACCTTCTGGTTACAATGCTAGTGAGCTCGTAGACCATTAAGTCAGTGGGATCCGATCCAGTGGCCAGCCCATAAATTCTAACTTCTGCCAATTGATGACAAAGCACGACCACTTCTCAATGTTTTGTTCGATGAGTAACTGCCTCACTTTCACCCTGCTGTACCCTACTGGTCACGGCTTCCCACTAGAACCCCAGGTCACTGCCTGAATAGGGCCAGTCGCTGGTGAGCATCAGATTAATTTTCAAGTATTGGTTTTGTAGGGATTCAGTTTGATTGGATGGAGGGCTTCATCATGAGCTGACATCAGTTCGAGAACTCGTCAGCTAACTGGCTGTGCCTGCATTCCGCAGTGATTGATGGTGCTTTCACCGAAGCTCGAACCCAGTGCCCATAGTTTCAAACGCCAAAGCGTTATCCACTAGACCACTTGGGCCACGAGAGCCACTTCTTTTGCAAAGGGTCATATTAATTATTTAATTGAATTTTAGATTTTTCTGAACCCAAGTGCAGGTACATCCAGATGACGAGTCCCAAATTTGACAAACTGCGCATCCTCTATTCCACTGCTAGTCACCATCCACCAATTAAATTCTAATTAAATGCCCAGACATCGTCGAAGCATCTGCACAAGAAGCCGACATGTCAACCTGAGACCTAGCACACTTCGGTTCAATCAATCGACAGGAAAATCTCAAATTCAATTAAATAATTAATTGAAGTCGTTTGTTTTTTTGTATACATAGTTTAGGATGTATTTGATTAATCCATCACCTTCAATAACCAACCTTCAATTAGAGTTATGTGAAGTAATTGTGAAGCAGTCACTAATTAATACTGATTTTGTGACCTGACATTAATGAACGCTTTGCAATAGATGATGATGATGATGGATTTATATTCAGATTAATTGCACTGAGATTTCCTATATGTTTTAAAAGCCATTTTGGAACATGTTCTTTTCGATGACCATATTAGAACATTCTATTGGTTCTGCCTACATAGGTGTCCCAGCAACTGCAGATGAACTTGTAGATACAGTTTGAAGTAGAGTCTACAGAATTTCTTCATTTAATCGTGCGTACAAGGATCGAAAATGATCGAGATGTAAGGGAAAGTGGTGCGGCGTAGAATGTGCCCTTGATGGCTGACCTAACTCTTTGATCTGTCAACTACATAATTTGATCACCTTTAAATGGTTTCAGATAACTGAGTAATTGTCATGCTTTTTATTTTATTATTATTGTGAACCATGTTAGTTATAAGGAGGTTGTATAGAAACTACGAAATGAAGATATCATCTCGCTAAATTTGTCTTCTAAATGCCTTACTCAAATTTATCAAAAGGACTAATTATTTTAATATGTGTATATATAACGACTGTACAGCTATGAAAACGAAATCGTCTAAAAGGGAATTTCCTTCGCTGAATTCTTTGTTTATATATATGGATGGGAAGTGGTCATGATATGCGTCACAGAAAACATCTTTCCTCTGGTTACTGAAAATAGACGTTAATCTTGACTTCGTATAAAGACACTTGAGTTCAGTTCGCTGCTTATTTCACACTCCCCTAATACCGATATCTTCATTACTCTGATTTCTAGTAAGCGCCCGAACTCACCAAAATAACGTCCTATTTTCAAAGACTATTAACTCACTCAGTAATCAATACAATGAATGAACACATCATTACACCTTTTGATATTCGTTAGCTTGAGGCAATCGGCAGGAAGCCTTCCGCCTAAGTTTCGTACTTGTCAGCACTCATCAATCGGCAAGTCAACCGTATCTACAACCTTGAAGGAACTCACTTTCCTTCTGAGATTCAAACCCACCTGCAGTCAGAGACGTTACCACGGGCTCACGATTGACCTCCTGTAGGACTGTACTGAATACTTTCGATTGGAGACTAGTTATTAACCAGTGTAATGTATCTAGTCCTTTCTTTAGTGCAAACTGAACCCTATCAGTCCAAGACTTCTTGTCAATTACCTCCCACCAGCTAGTATCATCAGTTCACAATGCAACCTGATAGTGAGCCAGCTAACTAGCATGATGACCACATTTCAAACTTGACTAATAGAGTTTAGTCCGCACCAAGCAATGGGCTAGACATATTACAAACAAACTCGGATAACAAGAGATGCTCCATGAAATGTTCGATGCTTGTCACCAAACTGAAGTACATTGTGGGAAACCAATAGGCGCAAGTGTCAGGCTGCTAACTTCGTCTATAGCTAAACACTTAATCGAGATGAACCATAAAATTGATGTTAACTCAGCCTTTAAGTTCATCTACGAAAATGATCAAGGGCGCTTATTGAAATACGCTGAGGCTACAGCTATTCATAAACTTAAGCCCCTCCCCCCTGTGTATTCAAAAACAGTTTATTATTACTCTTAACCTACCTTGGTAATCCTTATTTGATTGGATTACCAAACGTTGTGTTAATCATTCTTTAATCCGTTTTCTTCTCACTTTGTTTCATTTAACTGCCCCTAGTTTTTTCATATATATCGACTTGACAAGTAAATGTGTGAGGGATCAGATTGTTCGAAATGTATAGCGCAAATACATCACATCACATTTTTCAGATAATCTCCATCTTCTGATAACGCTATCCAAATTTATAATTGTTTTAAACTAGAACTTCTCCTGCAGGTAAGTTAGCTACCATTTATCGAACAATGCGCTTTCTGGTGGTATCAAAAGTCGATAAATAACCTTCTCATGTCAACTCTAAGAGTGTTTACAAATTTACATGTATCTGAGATGGCGCTGACATTGGAAGAACAGAAAGAAGACCACAAGACTTTCGACTAAAAAGCCTACGTCTTAAAGGAGAAAAACGTTTACAATAGTGTTATTCATTGCCAGGCATCACATCAATACAGTTCATGATGCAGTGGACATCACGAATTCCTTTAAATTTATTAATAGAAAAAATAGTTCACAGTTCTCCTCAAACATGCTGAAGCGATCCCTTTCAAACGCCTGAAACCCGAGTTATGTATTCAGAAAGAGATAATTATCAGGCTTTCCTTGCCCTGGTTACTGGATATCTTCACTATCCCTCTCTTTCATCTGGCTACGTAATCTTTGGCTTTAACCTCACCCCCACCATACTATGATATAATGTAATTTTGCTTGTCTCGTGTTTCTATGATTTCAGCTGATGTTAGTACACCGTTACCCAATTTATTAGTTACTCATCATCTTACGTATCTCTCGTCTTTATTACGCAACTCTTTTACCATTGAATGCATACATTGATTTTGTTTAAACTTAAACTTCCTGTGTACAAACGACATGAGTGCAATTTCTGAGTGCTATTTATTAAGCATGGAGTCTGATGTCATTAACTAACATTTGCAAATATGCTAAAATAGTTCTGTACATAAACTTAATTCATTGATTTACGCTGTACGCAGCTGAAGAGAAGTCGACGAAATCAAGAGTGATGGTACCATTCTTGTTCCACACAAACCATTGTTCTTGCTCTATTCGAAATTCGTTTAGAGAAATAAGTGTATGAAAAGGCAAAAGCCTTGAATACCTACGATAAAGCTACTGAAAGTCAGAAAAGCAGCAGGAGGAGGAGTCCCCACTCCACCGTTTACCTCGTATCACTGTAAAACGGATCCAGAAACGTCAACCAACATTCTCATAGGACTATTGCAGAAGCTTGGCAAAAGAAAGAAAAGTGCCCACCAACTGTGACGAACGACTGCCTTTGTCAAACTCCCAAAGAAGGCACCCCAGGGTGACATGGAGGAGATCATCTCAAGACGAGGGTGAAATAACAGTTTATGGAAAATTGTGGAGCCAGCTAAGAAACAACGACTGAAGAGGACATAGTAAAGGAGAGATCAATATTCCACTCAAAATACAAGGAGATAATAATAACAATCAGAATTTTGTTTCACTCACTACCTCTACCCTAAACTATCTCTATCACAATTCGAGTGAGATGGTTAGGACATGTGTTACGCATGCATGCCTAGCCATCGCCTTCGTCGACAATGGGCAATGTTAGCTAACATAGGATGGATCAGGTTGGAAAAGATCTAGCGGCGGTCAAACCAAAACATGACCTCATCAGTCAATGAAATCCACAACAGTTAGCTTAAGTCACGTAGGAAGATGTAGACTTCCTGGTTGGGGTCCTCGGGACGGTAAAAATCAATGAAGGCTAGAGACAATCAGTGGTATGGCTAAAAACCTCTGTCAATGGCTGGCACAGACGCATCCACTCCTTGTGATTTATAATACCTAATGAAACTATATTAGGTATAAAACTATATTGTTCTTCCATATTTCTATTCTTTTTGCCTCATATCTCTTTTTACTGTCTCTATTTTGCGTTTCTTTTTACTTTCCTCTCTTGCTTTGTTTGCTGAGTGAAGTGTGGCGACTCGAACTGTGGCACACCGGTGCAAAGTTCTATGTTGAAACCAAACAGACAGACAGACTCTATCACAATATCTGCAATACAAATAATAATAACAATAAGAAGAATAACATAATAAATCAGATCTGCATTAACCAACCAACATAATAATAATAATAACAATTTACTTCGATACACAACTCAAACTCAAATAAATATTACGCAAAAAGTCAAAGTTGCCTCCTTCATTACCAACCATGGTGATGAGTAAAACAAAACAAAACAAGCAAAACGCGCCAAAATTAAAAACTCGAGGAAATCATGTACAAGTTAATAATAAATAACAATAACAAATTAACGACAAACAAATAGTTTTTTTACCATAATAGTAATAATGATGATAATAGCAAAACAAAAAGTACAAAAGATGAGCAAACCAACCCAAAAGAATTCTATGTTATTTTGTTTGTTTGTTTGTTTATTTGATATTATGATATTACGTAATAAATGATAAACAGAAATAATAGTAATAATAATAATAATAACAAAAGCTCAGAGGAAAGATTCTTGTCTTAAAAAATATCAACATATGATGCATGAATCACATAGGATAACGATCGATAATCACCTCAAATTCAACAATAAACTGAACGAACCATAAATGAGCACATCTCAAACACACACACACAAGTACATGACACCTATGTATGTCTATTGTATGTGTGCAGAGTTGCACACAGAAAGAGCTATGGAGAATATATATATATATATATGAATGAATCCATGTATATTTATGTGTATGTATGGTTCTGGGCGCCTAAAAGTGTCCCTCCCTGAAGAGGAGTCAGTCAGTCAGTCAAAAGTCAGCGTAAATTATACGCCGTGATTTCAGCAATCGATGATGGTGGTATCGGTTTCGGGGCTATTATTTCACGTAAATGTTCACTATCCCATACAGCACTTTTAACAGGCATTGCTTTAAGACTATTGCCAATGTTACTACTACTATTATTATTAGTAGTAGTGTTATCATTATTAGTATTATTATTATTGCTGTTGTTGTTGTTGTTGTTGACAACTTTGCTGAATATACCAAAAGATGTCGGAGATGATGTTCGTGAAGCGGGAGTGTTGTTACTTCTTCCTTGTTTATTTGATGATGATGTGACAGAAGATTTTGACCAATTATCAATAGGCTTTTCGTCTGTATGATCTAATGATAATAGATCGAAGTTGTTCAGTGCAGCAGCAGAATACCTAGAGGATCCGAAAAATAAGAAATATATTTAATCGACCAAAATACATTTATTATTCAATACCTATTCAATGTTTATATATAAATATGTACTTATTATCTACAGGCAAATAGATGGCTGACTGACCAACGGACTGACTGGTTTCACTGTAGAACTATGCACAGATGTGCAGCAGTTCAGGTTGCCCCACTCCCTCCATGTAGTGCACAAAGCAAGAGAAGAGAATAAAGAGAAATTCAAGAGAAAGAAAGAAAGAGATAATAGACAGAAATATGAGGCAAAAGGAATAGTAATATCGAAGAAAAACGGAGCTTAATTGGGTATTATAAATCACAAAGAGTGATTGCATCTGCGCTAGCCATTGAGAACGAAACTGAGCCACATCACCAATTGTCTCCAGCCTTCATTGGTTTTTACCGTCCCGAGGACCCCAACGAGACAGCAGTCTACACCTCTCGACGTGGCTTAAACGAACTGTTGTGGATTTCATTGACTGATGAAGCCATGTTTTGTGATTTAATCACCACTAGCTGTTTAACAACCTCATCCATCATATGTCAGCCAATATATCTTATTGTCGAAGAAGGCGATGGCTGCGCATGCGCCAAAACATATCCTAGCCATCTCAATCGACGTAACTTCACAACCTCGTCGATTGATTTCCCCTCCTCCTTACCTAACACCCGACCAATACCTCCCCTTATTATACCACTTAACACGGAAGACAAAACGCAGATGCCTATCTATGATCAAAGACAGCTAGCTAGCCTTTCCATGCCTTCCATTTTCAAGGGTCATGTCTCACAGACATGTCAAATAGATGACGTGGCAATGGGTTCCCTTCTAGGACCCTTCTTGGCCGACTGTTTTATGGCTAGCCTAGAAAATAATTTCTCATCACCAACTATCATTGAGCTCCATCTTTACAAGAGGTATACTGATGACGCCTTCATCATTTACGATGAGAATTTGGATCTCCAAATCCTATTCCTAACCTTCAATAATACCCACCAAGACGTTGACTTCACTCTAGATGTTGAATCTGACGCAATTTCTCATTCTCTTGATGCTCAGGTGAGAAAAAATGTTGATAACTCGTTGAGCAGATCCATATAGAAAAAGCTTGTATGGAATGGACAATGTATTAATTTATATATCAATTTATATTCCCCTCAGAAGAAAGAGGAAATCCTTATATACACACTTCCCTCGAGGAACCGAAAAATATGCACGGAGAAATCTATTGACGAAGAACTTCAAATCTCCAAGGAAACTTGATAGAAAATGGCTTCTCACCCAGATTGACAGACAAGAATCTAAAATCAAAAAACACTTGTGATCAGGTCCAAGTCACCTCCAAAAAGATCCTCCTGCTTAATCTCGAAATTAAAAGTGATATTGAAGCAGAAATTCTCCGTAAAAGGCTTTCGAAATCATTCAGTAAAACATGCTTCACTGCCAGCCTACGAGTTATATTTTCTTGCAAGAAACTACTCAAGCAACCAATGAAAAACAAGCCGTCACAGTGGGCCACTTCAACATCCATATACCAGTTCACTTGCTCGTGTGGAGTTAAGTGCATGGACCATACCATGCGTCCGCATCTAAAACGTACTCCAGAACACTAAGTAGATTGACTTACAAATGGAAAACATAAAGTATGTATATAGTTCGGTTACAGAACTCAAGATATGCAGTTGCATTTGAAAATCCCCTCAAAGTCATAATACAAGAGTCAATCAAACCTCTCAAAGGGAGTGAAATCAAGGCATCTGAGTAGAGCTGAAGCACTAGCAATTCAGAAAGTCAAGTCCACGTTATGTATTCAAAAGAAAAACGTCCAACCGTTGACTCTATCATGGTGATCATAAAAAGTCAATATCTCAACAGTAATTATCTTGTTACCTTTCTTATCTGAGCCTCCTGTATATTTTGTTATTGCTACATTCTTAATCCCTAGCTGCACAGGAAAGTCAAGTTCCTCAGTAATTATGATCTTACTAAGCATCTTTTCTATCCGATCTTCCTGTTAATTACACTTTGTAATTTTATTAATTTGACCCTTGACCGGAAATATTTCTGGAACTTGCTCACCCATTCACCATAGATACACTATTGTACAACTTAGTTGATGACTTTGTCGAAAAGAAAATTTTCTTCGCTGCAACCATCATTTTAATACGTCCTATAATCGAATGTGTATATCATACAATTCTTTGATTTTGTCACGAAACAACGGGATTAGTTAGAAAGATCATTGAAAATTAGCAGGAGCACCGGAAAGTTATTTCACCCTGTTTTTGAAGAGGCTCTTCATCGGTGTGGACCCACAACCCCACTCACCAGGAGTTCATCACATGTCATGACAAAGTGGATGATCATTGAAGGCATCACACTTGAGAGTAGCTCCATACCACAGATTGACAACGTTAGGATTCACGCATTACTGAATTCCTGCCTAAGTGCCTGAGTGGTAGCCAAAAGGTCTTGGGTTAGACCACTGAGAGTGGAGTCATGGGTGCTAACTACTGAAGAGTCTCAAAAAGTAGGACGAAACAGCTGTGTCTCTCCAACTGATCCCGTTAGTTCACGACAAAATCTACCAATTGAAACTATATTCATCTAATTCGCTACAAGTTACACAATATAAATATAAATATTATGTTTATTATTCAATCAAAGCCAGACAGCATTGGAAAGGCAAGACACGCTTTCATCAGCCTAAAACCAGTTTGGAAATCTTCTGCACTCAGCTAGCATAAAGAACAAGATTCAGATTTTCAACAGAAATGGGAAGTCAGTCAGTGACATGGGGGAGATCGTGCAAGTTGGAGGAGATGAGATATAACAGGCAATCGTGGACCTAGCCGAAGAGGACAGTAGAAAATAGAACAAAGTGGAATTGTGTTGTTAAGGTACTATATTCCACTCGGAACCCAAGGGAATAATAATAATATTCAATCATTTATCATGATTGCGGAAATATTAAGTGACGTCACATACCAGTTATGCCATTCTGTGGAATGCGGATGAGAAGCGTGATGGGTTAGGCGATCAAGGATCACAATGAAAACAGTATATGAAGAGGAAAAGAAGGGCTAGTGGAGTCAGAGAACTGAGTGCAATGCATATGTGCTGCTGAGGATCTGTACTCAACTCAGAAAGGCTACTGTGATCTGTCGGATAGGAATGTCGAAAGAAATATTTGTCATGGAGGAGTTCCAACATTTAGGAGGTCTGCATAAAATCGCCTGAGATGAACATAGACTATAGAAACTAATCACCTGCTTAAAATAAGCAATCAGAATCCAACAGTTCCCAGAATTTTGCAATTCACCTCCCTCGACTATTCTATCAGCGACATGTTTGAGACATCTTAGAAGGCTTTTACTCCTGATCAGGAATTAATATTCACGGACAAAGAATTCACATATCAGAATGATAACGATATCATCTAAATATACTGAATAAGACAGCAATCAGTTTCTTTGTACTTTACTAAACCATTCACACCCGCCCTTGTAAATGAAAAGCTTTGGCATGTAGGTAACTGCAGAAGAGTTGACGGATGTGCGTTAAAGGAGACTATTAACCATCTGTCTGTAGCTAGTGTGACATAAGTGTGCAGTAAGCACACTGAGCCAAATTGAACCAACTATTTCCACAATAAATACCTAACTACTTGTTTTAATTAAGTAGTTTGCATATTCAAATGAAAAGAATGGATATAGGGGACACCTGTACTTTAGTCATTGGATAACACTGAAATCATTCACTAGCATTTTCCAACTAGATTAAAGTAATTTACACATCAGAAAACCATTTTATTTATTTCGTGCCATGTTCATCAGCAGTATACCCGGATTGACTCAGATCGGTTTCTGAACAGGTTCAAAGCATCTGAATTCTACATCACTTGCTCAGTAGAACTACAAATGACGAATTTGATCTTACATGTTTATCGTATCAATCAGGTCACATTTTTTGATCTAAATAACTCTGGTTTCCAAAGGTGACGCTGATTATTGCTCACCTCTAACTATGATTTCCACAAGATGAATTTGAATGAATATCAAATACTGAAAACAGGAAAAGAAAGACGAAGTGCTCCCAGTAATTCCATGTTAGATAAGTTTATTTCAAATATAACACAGTGACGATGCAGTATTAACAACTGGATGACAGACAAGGTTTCGAGCATAAATTATTGCTGACTCATTATCATATCAATTTTAGTTACACAGCTTCACAATTCGTTTTATGTATATTCCCACTCTCTCCACATCTTATTCTTGTTGCTTGTTGCCACATTCCATATCCGGTGTTGTATCGACAAACAAAGCTTCAGTGATTAACCTTTCTCTCTCTCTCACACTCCACCCAAGTATATCACTTTTCAATACTCTCACCCTGTCCCATTCACTCTGTTTTGTGATTATATGCAAGTGAATGAAGCGCCATGGCTAAGTTTTTTCTAGATAATTTAACTTAGTAGGGTCAATTATTTTAGGTCTAGCTAAAATTTTATGCCCCGATAATCTAATTAACCCCGATCTACTAGTTTTATCTATGCAATTGAGCTCACAATCATTGTAGGGTATGTGGTAAATTACACTATATTTCTTAATTGGATCTATCAGGTTCTTCAACTGACATTTGGTTACGACTACTTATGTATTATCCTAGTCCGATTTTGTAATAACTATGTCCAATTGAGAAAAAGAATAGAACTCATCAAATACTATGTAATGACTGTGAGTGAGGTCAATTAACCTAGGTCAGTGAAACTAGTAGATCGGGGTCAATTAGATTATTGGAACATAAAAACTTAGGATGCAGCAGGTTGAAGGTAAGGCAGTAACTCATCGACGAAGACATCGCGAAGTGGTCCCGCTTTGTCATGAATTGGCAGAAGTTAGAATTCGGCGGCTGGTGATTGGATCGGGTCCCAATGACTTAATGGTCTACGAGCTCGCTAGCCTTGTAACCAGAAGGTCCTAG